TGTGTGTGTGTGTGTGTGTGTGTGTGTGTGTGTGTGTGTGTGTGTGGTGTAGGAAGCTTAAACATCGACGGCAAACACACGATAACGACGACAACGACGACTGGAAGGTGGATCGCTACATGTGAAATGTACTCTGCCGTGTCTGTATTAGATTAGTCTGTAATTCCTCCCGGGACAGCGGTGTTGGGGCCGAAATCTCTAGCATAGTCCAAAATGATTCGCGCTACCATGCGACGGTCAGCATCCGATGTCTGGAGAAGTATGGTCTCGGGTTGTTTTTAAATATCCAATTAAACTTACAAAATTCGAAGGTTTTTTTTTCCTTCAAACATCTTGACTGTGAGGTTTTGAATTGAGTTGTTCCCAAGATACCTTGAGGTAAGATTATAGAATGTGATGGTTTAGTTAAATGCGACGTTACTTTCTTTTTATTGCATGGAATGTTTATCAGCTTATATCATTCAAGTTTTCAATAGAATACTGTCTCTATCAGTCGAGTTTCAAAGGATTTATAAGCTGATTAAAATCCAACGATGGATAAAATAAAATAAAATAAAATAGCGAGTATTAAACAAGTAGGAAGTGCGTCGGTGTATCGCGTAAATATCACAAAAATTATGAAGTATAGAATCTGATACCTTTACAGACGTTTCAGACCTTGAGTTTTTGTGTGTGTGCGACTGCATGTGAACTCCGAYGACGAAGGGCTCTTGGCTCGCAGCATCAGTAAAGTAAAGTAACTTTTAAGGAGTGATAATATGGGAGACAAAATCGTGTCATAGTGCTCTGCAAGTTTGCTGTGTTTGGGATTGCAATTGCTCGTAATTTGTTACCCTGTGCGCAATCTCTTTGCTTTTTGCAACAACAAAAAATTGTTGCGAAAGGAGTGACAATTCAAAAATTATTTGCTCATTTGCCTTACTAGCGACTGTTGCGTGATTTAAATCGTCGCCCGTATCACTCGTTAGGCAATGCAAAATCTAAAGTTAGRTCTCTTAACTTCATAGAAGCACTATTGGTCGTTTACTTACAGATAAAAGATATCGTCAAGCGATCCCCAGGGTAAAATGGAGATGTCTTTTAACATGTTATTTCGTATATCCCTAGAGTGCAAATGAGTCGGTGAAATAACATCATATATAATGTAGACAGTACATAACCATGGTAACAGCATGTTGGGTCACGTGATTATTTAAAGGGGATTCTTGAATTAATATAGTGATAGTTCTTACAAGGTATCGAGGTGTATGCTGTTTATTGATCCTTCTTCAATTGCTTCGATACTGTTATTGAACAAGATCCTATAACGAAATAAAAAGCAAGTTAACTCTCATCAACGTTTGTTTAGAATAGCGGTCACTAGTTGGTGCGTAAAATACAACAAATCAATTAGCTATTCAATGTGCAACCCTGCTTAACAATTATAGTATGAATATAACTGACGAATCAATGACGGGTCCAAAACGTCAKTATAAAAGCTTTGCACCATCACGTGCCCACGACAATAATACAGCTTGGGATGCCTGTGGTTGAAAATCTAAACAATAAAATGCCTTTGCTCTTGGGAATTGAATTATTTCTCATGTAAAATGATTGCATTGTTCTTGCCATCTAACATGGCTGCAGTCACGTGATGGTGCAAAGGCTTTATAGTTACAGACTTTTTACTCTGTGTTTGAATTTTTTTTCTTGTTCGCTTCCTTTATTTAAACCATTTTACTTGGGGTTTATAAATATACTTAAAGGTCTCATCATATTTATATACTATAGCTAAACACTTTCGAAACATAAACTCCTTCTTACAAAGAATTTATATACAAATCCTGTGCAAAGACTCCTCTTTTGATGCAAGTGAGGCGATTGGAAGAAACATCACTGTAAAGAGACCAAAACACATTACTAAGCAATAGTCCAGTTTCGAGTTCCAAATTACCGCTGTGTTCCTTGGTTACAGACTCATTTACTCAGACTTAGCCTCGAATCAGTGTCTAATTACTCGCCGAAATACCAACGGTAAAGTAAAGAATGCACAACTTCAACAATACGAACACTTTGAAACTTGACGGACTTTGACTGGAACACGTGAATATTCTTCACAAAATCGAGGCTAAGCCTGAGTAAATGAGTCTGTAATCAAGAAACACAGCGGTAATTTGAAACTCGAAA